GGATGAAGAGGAAAGACCCCAGCTGGGCCCCAAAGTGAGAGGGCCAGGAGGTATGCAGTCAACAATGCTTGACTCAGGGAGGAGGACGCCCCTGCCATGCATAGTCCCATGGGATGTTGGCTACCAACAACAAGGCAACTCCTATGACTAATTGGGAATGGGACGCAAGCGTAGGATTGATCACCCTGTCGCTGGCCGCCTTTGGGGAGGGTGTATAGTATGAAAGGCCGAAACACCCTAGGAACCAAAGGGTCACTACTGACGATGCGCTCCCCAAATTTCACCAGGCTCACTGTTCATGAACTCTTGGAAGTGCTTGCACAAAGGATAGTAACATCTCATCCTGTGTTCTTTGGAATCGGCCCAAACACTGGAAAAGTGAACACAGCACTGACTGATAACGGTCCGTTACTCACACACGTGCGTGTGTGTGTACTGACCACCCACCCCCTCGTGTGTCGTGCTGGTCTTCATATGTGCTCGCGAAGAGCGCTTGCGATCCTTGCCTTCGTGTCCATTTGAAACAAATTTAACTAATAACCTATTTGTTTTATTTTTTACCAGATAAGGCCCGGCTGAGCTACGTTGCTCTTTTCAGAAGCGACCTGGCCACAAATGACAGCTCAACAAAGTGGCTTATCGCGTGGAAATGTATAGCAGCCAAATACTCTCAACGCGCGTTCCTAAATGTGGAGGGAAAAACCGGAGGAGAACCCGGAGAAAAATCCACGCGACCACGGGGAGAACTTGCAAACTCCAAATATACCGCTGCCAGCGTCGGGTTCAAACCCCCGACCTCCTGCGTATCAGGCGATGAAGATAACATCTCGCTACTGTGACCCCCCTTAAATAAATAAATTAAGCGCGTTCAAATTGCATCATCAATTCCCAAGCATGGAAAAAGGCAGTAAAACAACAGCAACGACAGTCCCCTACCACACCCAGACAACACACAGTCATTCAATAACATTGTACACTAAAATGTAACTATCGACACATTGCTAAGGAACACATTTTACAAATCACGTTGGCAAATGTGACTGCACACAGCACGAACCTTCTGCTTCAGAATATTTTTTTGGGAAGGAAGATTTACGATGTACAGTAAGGAAACAATGTTGTTGTTCCAAAACGTTGGTGCTGCAATGGCAAAGGCTTTGTGTCACCCATTCCTAATTCTCGTTCTTGGAATAGTTTAAAGGAAATTCGATGGACGCCTTAAGTTTAGTTTGAAGGCGTCGAGGGGGGGGGGGCACACGGTGGGATTTGCCCTGGGGCCCCGCATGGATGGCCCTGCTCGGCACTGCTATGGACTACGGTGGGGCCGTGTTTGCAGAGGTTACCGGTTGGAATCGAAGCGGCCGCCCTGGTTATTACTGCGGTGGGGTATGAACCGCAAATGAAATATCCCGAACAACGCGTCCGTTTGCTTCACAGCGGACGTCACAAATCGCCGCGACGTCATTCGCAGATTGGCCAAATATTACAACGACAACATTTACGCCGCACATTACTCGAGCGGAGCGCACGCAGCCATCGTCGCTGAGAAAACACGTGGCAGGACACCACCTCGTTTGAAAAAGCTGTCCCGAGACTCAGCGAGGCTTTCCCGTGTAAACAAGCAAAACGTACAACGACAGAACATGGTGAAACGCAGAGGCTAAGATGCGCGTCTAAAGTACTTTAAAGCGTCCCAGAAATGTACACGAAGGCTGCTTTCCTCCACCTCCCTGCTACATACACACACTCTGCAGGCTTGGGTGTTCACACCATTCAGTATAGCAGCACAAAGCCTATCACGAAGCTGCTATTGGTTTTGCCGTGTAAGTGAACTGGCTAACAGCTATCCTCTTATGTTGCTACTACTCAACGCAGACCCCCCCCCCCCCCCGTATAGTCTCTTACAAACTGTTGGGGGGCACGTGCTATGAAGGCCGGCACGGCACACGAGGAGGAGCGTTGGGGGGCCAGCATCACACACGGCCACCTTTGTCTTCCCAGTGCTACACACCGCACCGGGTACGAGTTTAAGGTTGAGTCGACCTCGGCGAGTCCCAGGACCGGTTCTCATATTGGCAGTGCGCTAACCACTGCACCATCACGCACAGACTGTTGGTTGCCCTACACATCACTGAGGCTATACCCTCGATAGGTTCACCTCCTGCATTATGCTAATCGCGCACACACACATCCTGTGTTATATATCCTCTGCTATGTATCGCACTCACATGCTGTGTTCTATTCCCTATGCTATGTACGTACCTGTGTCGCACAATGATCATCGCGCATTGCTATGTTCTCTAATACCCAATGCCACCCGATCCACAGCACCATGTCACGTCCTATATTCAACACACACACACGCCGTACCCTATCAATCTTTGCTATGTATTGAATGATGCGACGCACGTGAACGCAAAACGACATCATCACACATCCTGTGCCCTGTACGCGTGTACGCTATTATAGTATGCCCATCACACGCACACGTGCCGCGCTCTGTAACGGTGCAAGCGATGTATCATGGATTACTCATCCCATACGTGCTGCGTTTTATAATTTTGCCGTGCATTGCCGTATTCTCTGTATCGTCAGACACATATTCCTCCCCCGAGCACGACTGGCGATATATACATCAAAAGTTCAGGGTGCGTCTTATAATCCCGATAATCCGGCGTGCTCATCTGAGACACACAGACGCTGCGCTGTACACCAATGTAACGCGGTGTGATTGACAAAGACAAAGATCCCCCGTATAGCCTTAACAGACTGTTGGGGCAAGTGCTGTTAGTAAGCACCTACAAAGGCCGGCCAACACCACGCCCGGCCGCATTTGTCTCCCCAGAGGCGACGTTTACACACCGCACCGGGTACTCATTTGAGGCTGATTCGACCTGGGGGAGGCCCAGGACCGGTTCAGACAATCGTCACCGGTGTTGGCCGTGAAATCGAACTCGGGACGCAGGTTCGTAGCGCAGCGTAGCGCTAACCGCTACACCACCGTGATTGACACACACAGACGCACACACGCTGCTGTGTTCCATACATAGTAGCCTCCACCGAACGTGTCAAACTGGACTTCGTCATCACACACCACCGGTCCACACCGCGTATCGCTGCGGCTGAGCTGCAACGTGTAACATCATCAACACACGCACACATAGGGCGGTGGCCACATACTGACACACTCACACAAGAGATAAAGATCACCCGATAAGATCGAACAGACTGTCGGGGCAAGTGCTGTTCGCGAGTACCCTATGGAGAGTGGGTGGCCAGGCACCACGCCCGGCCGCCTTTGTCTCCCCACCGCTGATACTTCTACACACGGCGCCGGGTACTCGTTTGAGGCTGAGTCGACCTAGGCGGAGGCCCGGTGCCGGTTGAGATAATCGTCGCCGATGGTGTTGGCCGTGAGCGAGAATCGAACTCGGGTGCCGGGGGTTCATAGCGCAGCACGCTAACCGTTGCGCCACCGCTCCGCACGCACGCACGCGCGCGCGCGCGCGCGAGCGATGTTCCGTTACAATCCAATGCCTCTATCCCACACAGACCGCGAGCTTGCGCTGTGCGTTATGCAATACATCAAGCTGGCCACCCCAGGCTGGTCAATTCCTATGTATTGTACAACCTATGCCGCGCCCGCGACAAGGAGGTGTTCGCCGTTGTGTGTTCTTGTACTATAATAATGACAACGAAGGCAAAGACCCCCTCGCCATGTAGCCCGCTCGATGGTAAGAAGTAGGACTGCACGATTTGGGGAAAATATCTCATTGCGATTTTTCTGACAGATATTGCGATTGCGATTTGATACGCGATTACATTTTGAAAAGTCAAGCGTCAGTTAATATTCACTGTGTAATAGATTTAAAACGTGTGATGGAGCATTACCACATGATACCATCAAACTATGAACTGCTCTATATATTCTCATGCAAGGATGATAACTTAAAAGATATGAATTGCTTGCAACATGTATTTATTAAAACGTTTTAATTGAAATAGAACAATCAAACATAGAACAATTGTTAAGTGAAATAAAAGAAGTTATGATAATAAGAAAAATAAAACACTTCCAACAAGAAAGAAATAAGACTTTTCAAATCCCAAGAAAAATCGCAACCCTTGCGATCTGCTAATCGCATTGTTTCAAATTGCGATTTCGATGTTAAATCGATTAATCGTAACGAGTGCTGTGAGCGAGCGCCTCTTCAGGGCGGCGCGACACACGAGGGGGGTGATGTGACCAGCGCCACGCCCGACCGCCTCGTTCGTCTGCACCGCACCAGGATACACGTTTAAGGCTGAGTCGGCCTAGGGGAGGCCCACGACCGGCTCGACTATGTTGGCCGCGAGCGAGGATCGAACTCGGGTTGCCGGGTTTGCAGCGCGGTGCATAGTCTCAACAGACTGTTGGGGCAAGTTGCTATTAGAGAGCACCCATGAAGGTGGGCAAGGCTGGGTGACCATCACCACGCCCGGGCCGCCTTTGTCTCCCCAAGTGGCGATGTTTACACCCCGCACCAGGTACCCGTTAGAGGCTGAGCCGACCTAGGGGAAAACCCATGACCGGCTCGAGATAATCAAGATAATCGTCACCGGTGTCGGCCGTGAGCAGGAATCGAACCCCGGGTCACCACTGTGCGCTAACCGCGACACTAACCTGAACAAAGACAAAGCTCCCCCGTGTAGCCTGCACAGACTGTTGGAGGCAAGTGCTGTTAGCGAGCAGCACCTATGAAGGCCGTGGCACGGCGCGTTCTAGCCCCCCGCGCGACGAAACCATCAGCGCTATCTCCCACCAACAGACCACACGCCCTGCGCTGATCGCAACCACGCAATGTCCAGTGCATCACCACACACCACGCCTACTTGCTGCTAGGCACACGCGGGCACCATGCATGCCCGCTAACCAGTAATCATCATCACACACGCGCGGAGAGAGACGGGTCTCTCGCTCTTCTACGCCTCGTCGTCTGCGCGTTGTGCGCCGCGTTTACCGGGGTGATTGTCCAAGGCGGGGGCAAGGGCAGTCTTCTCAGGCTGCTCACACCCGCTCGTGCTGCTGCTGCTGCTGCTCCCGCTGCTGTGAGTCTCCGTCCGAGCCCGTGCGCGTCTCTCCGTCTCCGCACGCGTGCGTGTGTTGGTGGTGGCGGTGTCGATCTCTCCCCCTCCTCCTCCTCCCCCCCTATCACTGAGCCCGAGCTGAGGCTCCGCCTTCCACGCGATGCGCTTGCGGCGGGCGGTGGTGGTGGCGGTGATGATCGAGCGAGCAAGCGAGGGTCGCGGTACGACCCCTGCAGACTCCTGCCTGGTCCCGCAGGACGGTGCATGTCGGAGGTTCAGTTCAGTCGGGGGGATTGAGGGGGGGGGCTGTCACGGTCGTTCGGCTCCCGCATGGCCACCCATCCCACCGCAGCGGGGCGCAGGGATTTTGGGGAGTTTTGTTGTTGGTTTGGAAGTTTTCCGGGGAAATATATTTAACGAGATACGACTCCCCGACTCTGTGTGTGTGTGTTGTGTGTGCGTTGGACTTCTTTCGCAGCGTACGTCAGCCAACCGTGTTCATCGGATGTGCGGGGGAAGGACAGCAAACTAAACTCAAGAAGCAGTTCTACTCCAGCATTTGCTTTTTACAATAGAGCAGTACACACAACGCAAGGATCCCGCTTACAGCCTTAACAGGCTGTTGGGGCAAATGCTGTTATTAAGAGGTGGTGCGACCAGCACCACACACGCCTGGCCGCCTTTGTATCCCCAGTGCTGATATCTACACACCACATTGTCCACATGCGTGGATGAGTTGACCTCAGGGAGGGCCCAGAACCGGTTCAGATATCGATCGCCACTGATGAAGAACTCTGATCGGGTATCGAACTCGGGTCCGCGGGGCTCGTGGGGCAGTGCGCCAATGGCTACGCCTCTGCTGGGGGGGGGGGGAAGTGTGGCAAGAGGCGTGGAGAAGTGCAGGCGAGGGAGCTGCACTGAGAGACTCTGCAAGAGTCCCCACACATTGACCAGGGGACATTCGCAGGCCACGGCATGGCCGGGTGGTGGTGCTGCTGGTGGCTGTCTGCACGCGGCCTGTAATCCAGCACCGCGGAGGCGAGGGTTGGTGGGTCACAGGAATGCTGTGAAACCGCCTTCCCGATGACGTCGAGGTGCCATACCCTGGCTCGCCAGGAGAGGGCGGTGCAGCCGTTGGACCAATCGCCATCTGTTTCCATCTGTACGGTGCATGGAGTGTTGTCACCTCGCGCGCGTGGCGTGGGGTTTCTCCGGGTGCTGCACTTACTTGTGCGATAATCACTCCTCGTTCATTGGCTGAAAACGTCTTAAAATAAAAAAACATTCTTTGGATCTTTCTGTAAAGTCACGTCTAGATAGGTTCAAAGAAAAGAACAAAAAACGACGACGTTTCGATCGCAACACAACCGGTCCTGGGCCCTCCCTGAACATATCTACGTGACTTTACCGAAAGACGCAAAGAATATAAATTCCTACAGTCACGAAAGCTTTAAGTCAAAATAAAAAAAAAATATCCCGAATGTTGTGATATTTCTCGTGGGCGGTCGAGGAGGTGCCACGTGATGGCTTGAGATCGAGTGTTTCCCCCCCCCCCCCCGCTGCACGCATCGGTTTTCTCGGGGTGCTCTGGGTTTTCTTCTGATACGCAAACACGTTGACTTGGCCGATATCAGCATCGTATATCGAGGACCGCAGAAGCTTCAACAATTGTTGGCGCCGCTTCGCCGCCTGACTGCTGCCTTCGTGCTTGTGTCTGCGGTTCCTCCTCGCGCCTCTGACTCGTCTTCTCTCTCTCTCTTGCTCTCTCTCTCTCTGCTGTTGCTACTGGCGGCGTTACACGTTATCATCATCATTGTAGCGGTTACTATGGAAAAGTCAAATGGTTGACAAGTCACCTTTAAATGTAGATTGTAAAACTCATTTCTTTAGAACTGATTTTTGTGTTTAGTTTGTTGTCCTTCGCCCGCACCACCGGTGAGCACGGTTGGCTACGTACGGTGCGAAAGAAGTTCAACATGCACGCGTACAGTACAAACTCAAAAGGGGATAGATACCGACCGGTGGTCAAGACTAACGACGGAATGACAGCCAAACGAGGGAGCACACACACAGACACACACACACAGACACACACACACGGACACACACAGACACACACGTCACCACGCTTGTGCCAGGCTATGTACACCTTGAGCCCACGTGAAGTGTCGAACGCCCACTGGCAGGTCACGGGGCAGACCCAGCAGGTGCCATGGGTCGACTAAGACGACTGGCTGATGCACCACCTGTGCCCCCTACTTTGCCAACTTGCTGTGCTTTAGTCACCCGGCGCTCCGCTCGTTGTGAACGTCGCTCCTCCGCCCTCCGTTGTTGTTGGAGGGCGACTGCCTCCAACTGCCCAGTAGCGTCCTTCACGAGCCTCCTCCACAGAGGCCGATCTTGACACCGCTGGTACCAGTAATCGGCAAGTCCACTCAGCTCCACGTCCTCCTGCACCACATCACTCCATCTCTTCTCTAGCCCGTGCCACGCCCGTTTAGCCCCCTCGATCCGGCCAAACAAAAGCTGTTTAGGCATGCGGTGGCTGGGCATGCGGGCTACATGACCCAGCCAACGCAGCCTTGCCTGCCGGAGGAGCTCACCGATGGGACTTTGTCCAGATCTTTCGAGGATTTGTGAGCTCCTCACACAATCCAGCCTGGTTAAACCCAGGATTGATCGTAGGCAGACACACACACAGACACACACACAGACACACAATCATACAGACACCCGGTCCAGGGCGTTTAGCGCGCCGAGATGAAGCGACGATGAAAACAACAGCCTCATGCAGTCAGAGATGGATGGATTGCGATGGGATGGCGACTGATGATGATGATGATAATAATTGTATATTGTTATATACAAATGCCGCTTGATTGATTATTGTATCTTCGTCGCTGAGGGAATGTGTTCACTCGGGCTCTTGGCTGGCAGCTGGCCACTAACCGTTGTTGAGTGGGAGATCTGTTTTGAAGGAGGTTTGATGTTTTTTCACCCCCCCACCCCTCCCAAATCAATTTTGCCAAAAGCACATTTTTACTTGAACGACACTTATTCGATGACACTGTGGCCTCAGAAGGAAAATTTATAAGAGGCGACGTTTCGGGCAACGGCCCTTCTCCGTCAATGTTTTCTTAAAATATGTAATTGAAAAATATGATAGTTGTGTGTGCTGATGTTACTATTACTGTACTCGTATGCCTGTTCGTTCAGGAAAGCTCCATTGGGTCTCAAATATTGTCCCCCCCCCATAACAACATAATGACATTGAATAAACTATTGATGCACACACAGAGGGCGTGTCGGGGAACTTGACACCAGGTGAGTGCTGTTCAGCGAGCAACTACGAGGGCCGACAGGGCGCGCGTGGAGGCGGTGAGAGCCCAACACCGCACCTGGCCAACTTTCTGTCTTCTCGGTCAGGATGGTTGTTCACCCACCCGCACCGGGCGCTCGTTTGAGGCCGAGTGGATCTCGGGGAGGCCGAGGAACCGGTTCAGATAATGAATCGTCACAGGTGTTGACCGTGAACTTGGTGGCGGAGGTGGGGGGGAGGGGTTCGTCGCGCAGTGCGTTAACCGCTGCGCCACCGCTCCCCACTCACACACGCACACAAACAATACAAAGATGCCCCCGTCCCCCGCATAGCGTATCGCAGAGGCTGAGCTGCAACGCGTAACATCATTAACACACACACTGCCAGTGGCGCCATACTTAGACTCACACAAAAGATAAAGATGACCCGTATAGCATTGAACAGACTTGTTGGGCAAGTGCTCTGAGCGAGCACCTATTGGCCTGCGCTCAGCAACCACGTTAAACCATTACGACGATAACAACAACAATAACAACAACAATCATTGCTTTCCCCTCTCTCCTGGCCGAAACCTTCACCCTCACAAGTTCTGCGCTCTGTAGTTCCTCCGCCACTAAAGACAAAGATCCTCCCCTCGTGTAGCCTTAACAGACTATCGGGGCAAGTGCTGTAAGCGAGCAGCGCCTATGAAAGCCGGCACGGCTTGGGTTTTGAAGTCGGGTTGACATTCTTTCATACGAGTCAGGGGCCCACCCTTGAGCTGCTAGGGCACCTACGATTCTGCTGCGCGTGGCCACCAACATCCAGGCAAAGATCCCCCGTGTAGCCTTAACAGACTGTCGGGGCAAGTGCTGTTAGCGAGCACCTAATGAAGGCCGGAACGGCACACGGTCAAGGGTGGTTGTTGGTCCAGAATTCACCACTCTGGTCAGTGCGGATTTGTGAATGCAGGTGGGGGGCAGGGTTGCGATTTCCGCATGGAAAATGCGGAAGGAGGGTTCAAATTTTCCCGCATTTATGCTAAAGTCAACCGCAAACGGTGGAAAGACTACTCCTATGACCGCGCGCTTTTAACAACACGTTAATGCGTTCTATTGGAAAGGATACATGCAAGGCCCAGCATCACGTAGGGCTTTGAGTCACTGATTGGAATGAATATATGATTTCCGCATTTCCGCACAAGAACCACATACTTTATTCAAATGCGGAGCCGTGATTACGAGCACATGTACATGATGTATCCTTTCCAATAGAACGCATTAACGTGTTGTTAAAAGCGCGCGGTCATAGGAGTTGTCTTTCCACCGTTTGCGGTTGACTTTAGCAAAAATGCGGGAAAATTTGAACCCTCCTTCCGCATTTTCCATGCGGAAATCGCAACCCTGGTGAGGGGGGGGGGTTCACAACTTAGGTTATAATCAGGGCAGATACAAATATCACTCGCCGCAGATGTTAGTTGAGCCAGGTTCGGGGAATCAAACCCAGGTGGCCCAGTTCACAGCGCAGTGCGCTCACCACTACAAGCCATGGACGCACGCGGTGATTGTGCAGTATTGGTGTCATCACAGCGCTTCAGGCAAGGGGCTTCATTTGGTGGTGGTGTTTTTTTTATTCGAACCACAGCTGCTGCTGCCCCTGCCAGAAGATGTGTGTGTGTGTGGATGTTCGCCGCTTCGTGTTGACATTAGCGTGGAGGTTGTGAAGCGTGGGAGGAGGAAAGGGGTGGGGGGGAGGGTGCAGGATGGAGCATTGAGAGAGAGAGAGAAAAAGCA